AAGACCCATGTTTATGCACCTTGATGCCAAAATTAGCCTTAGGCTCCCATGGCCACCAGGAAGACCAGTGGGAATAATAACTGGGCGGGCCAGCACCTGCCCAGCTAACACGCTTGCGTTCTGTTATTCAGACAACTCAGGGAGCAGCAGCAGCAGCAGGGCACTCAGAAGCATACTACGGAGGCATCTCACCTCCTTGGTTGGTGCTGAGATACCTTTTTCTTAACTTATATTTTTTTAAAGAGAATGTAAAATGGTAAAAGAAAAAGAAAAAATAGAAATGATACAGAATTCCACCAAACAAAATAATATGAATTTGAGAATGGTTGTTCTACTGCATAATGTTATCTTCAGATTAGTTGTACAGATTACCAGATATAAACATGCAAAACTAGGGGGGGAGAAAAAAATGAAAAAAATTAAGCATTAAGTGCTTCTTTCAATAGCCCAGAAGAAATCAGAAGTAAATTATCCAAGATACCCTGTATATATACATAAATGTATCTTTTTATCTTCTTTCTTTTGTCCTTTTCCTCATTCCAGTTTTTCCTTCCCATTAAACGGCTTTTTTCCCTTTCACAGTATTATACTTTTCAGACTTTACTTACCCCTTCAGGTTCTTACACTAGTGAGACAATATGATGTTTGCATATGTGGGTCTGATTTATTTCACTTCCCAGTATGGTCTCTAGTTACATCTATTTATCTATAAAAGCTCGAGTTTATCCTTTTTCATAGTTGATTAATACTCCACTGTGTAAAAATACCCCATCTTTTTTATCCATTCCTCAGTTGATGGGCATTTGGGTTGTTTCCAAGATTTAGCTATGACAAATTGTGCTGCATATAAATCATTGTGGCATGATGATTTCAGTTCATTGGAAAAACATCCAGGAGGGGAATAGTTGCATTTGAATGGGACTTTGAATCCTAGTTTTTTTAAAGAACCTCTACATTGATTTCCATAGAGGCTACACAAGTCTACACTCCCACCAAAGAGTGGGAAAGGGTTCCATTTCCCCACAACCCCTCCAGCACTTGTCACTGGTTGACTTCTTGATGATAGCCATTCTTTTTCTTTTTTTAA